AGGAGACAGAAAAGGAGGGAGCTGACTGCACCTCAGGTACCCCTGCCAGTATCTCTGTGGGGGTGACTCACCACTCCTGGGGGGAGGCTGCGGCCCATGCCTTGGTCAGACACCGAGATGGACAGTCAGGAGTCAGCAGCCACAGAATGCACATCATCGGGAAAGGTTCCCTACCCTTGAATCCTCACAGTTGCCCTCTGGAACCCCCAGAAGGCCCCTCCCAGTCCTGCAGCTTGTCTCCCCACAGTCACTCAGCCACGGAATTCTATTCTCACCCATGTGGCTGATCAGGTCCCTACTGCCCCTCAGAACTGACACTCTCCTGAATCACCCTGAATCACCCCTGAAGGACCCTGAATCACCCCCTCCTCAAAGTCCCACGTAGCCTGGCTCTCCCTCCCCTTTGTCCAACCCCTCCAGCTGTCTCCCTGGACCATACATTATGCTCTGGCCATGCCCGGCATCCATCCTGACCAGCCCAGCCTCAGGACCTTTGCATCGGCTGTTCCTTCTGCTAGAATTGCCCTTCCCTGGCCCTCCTCACCTCCTATTGTCTTTCAGAGCCTCATCCAATGTCACCTCCTGTCTAGAGTCATCCCTTCTCTGGGCATATCACCCTAGTTTATTGTCCTCAATCTCTGCTATGGCCTGTTCACTTATTCACTTTCCTGCCCCAGAAAAATGTGGGTCCCAGTGCACCGGGGCCTGGCTGATGAGAAGAGAGGGTCCCTCTGAGCCAGCGCCACCTCAGAAGCTACCCAGCTCCAAATAAAGGGACAGCACTACTCAGCTCACCACCCCGGAAAGCATCCCTCGGATATGCACAAAAGATACAGGTCCTGCTGCTGCGGGGGCATTGCCGAGGACAGCGAAACCGAAAGCATGTGCCCCCCACCTGGAGCCACTTAGCCTGTTTCCAGAATAACATGCTGCTGGGGACGATGATCCACAGGGACCGCTCCCGAACTGTGAAGGAGAAGCCAGGCCAGAGGAGCAATTGCTGAGATGTTCCCATGGCAAATGAGTCTGATGAGCAAATGAGAACGGGGGTGGGGGTGGGGGAGGCACGGGGGACAGCCCAGGGCCAGAGGCCCTCAGGGGATGACCATTCCTATTATTAGTTTTTCCATAAAGTTTTATTATCCTACATTTTTTTAACCAAGGGGAAGGATAGAAGAAAATTTGCTTTGTTGAAGGGTATAAAGGTTCAGAGAGGGTATCCCCTTTTGGGACAGAAAACACACTCTCAAATGTTTTCCAAGCACCTACTGTATGCGAATTGCCCAGAGGCTGATGGTGAGCCTGGCAGGTGGGGGCTCCTGGGTAGCAGGCAGAGGGTTGGGAGCCCTGGAGGTTCCAGGAGGTGATGGCTGGTTGTCTGAGGTGGGACATTTTGCCTCAGCAGGGCCAGGCCCAAGGCAGAGGTTTGGGTTGGGGGAAGAAAGAAGGCCCTGGAAGGTGCTGGTGAGTGCCACACCTTTATGAAATTCACTACCTGGCCACGACTCCACCTCAGGCAGGTGCTGAAATCCCGGAGGCTGGGAGATGGCATGGGGAATGGGCTGGGGGTGGGACCTGGCACGCAGGGCTGTAGGGAACCAGGGAGGTGAGACAAAGACATCCTCTGTCCCCATGGCTTTCAGAAAGACTTAAAAGGACAGATGGGGTGGGGAGGGAGTAAGGAAAGGGGGAACGCCCAAGATTAGGGCTGCCAGATAATAGATCCGGCACGAAATGGAACCTATTTATAATAATATAAATTATATTCATTATTTAACTGGGCATCCTTTCCTTTTTTTCCCTGGAAATCCTAGCCTGGAATCTTCTGGGGTTTGCTGGGGTGAGTAGGGTTGGGGCACCAGAAGGTGTCCGTCCCAGTCTCTCCTCCCATCCCCCCCACATCACCCCCCACCTCCGTGCTACCTTCACAGGCTTCTCTTTGTCCTCACATTGTCCCTCTTCCTTAACTGCTCCCCAAGGTCCCCCTCCCCTCCCTCTTCCTTTGTTGTCCGTCTCCCTCTACGCTCTTCCCGAGCCCCTCCTCCTCCTGCACCCCTCTCCCCATCATCCCCACCCTGCGCATCCCCCCCAACCTCCCCCGGATCCCACCCTCCCCACAGCCCCTCTCCCTCCCTCACCCTCTCCCACAGCGCCACCCCCTCCGCGCCTCCCCGCAGCCTCCCCTGCGGGTCCCCCGGGAGCGCGGAGGGAAACCCCGGCCCCCGGCGCGGAGCTGCACGCAGGCGCAGAGAGCCCGGCTTCCCCAGGCCGCCTCCGCACTGCAGCCCGCGCGCCAAGTTGCCAAGGCAACGGCGAGGGCCGGAGCGGGAACCCGGGGAAGACCCTGCGCTCCCCCTCCGCCCGCCGCCGCCCGGACCTGGGCGAACCCCGCTCCAGTTTGAGCCGGTTCCCCCGCCCCGCCCCCGGGCGCACTGCGGCGGCGAGGATTCCCCGGCCCACCGACCGGCTGGGCGCATGCGCGCCGGGCCGGCGTCCCCACCCCCCAACCCCCCGCGCGCATCGGGAAAGCCCTGAAGCGTGGAGATTCCCTCCGCCCCCTCCCCCCACCGCCCGCCCCCGCGCAGGCGCCGTGCGCCCTCGGCGGCCCCTCAGCCCCGCCAGGTCGTCGCGCGCGGGGAGGGCTGCGAGGCCGGGAACTCCCTGTTCGCCCCTCCCGCGCGCCGCGAAGAAGCCGGGGATTCCTTCCTGCCAGCGCGCACGTGCGGGCTCGGGATTTCGCGGGGCGGAGAGAGGAGGGGCTTTTCTGTGAACAGAGGTTATTGCCAACATCTTTACGTTTGAGGGCAGACGGCGGTTCTAGCCATCTCCTGCATTTTATCATTTCTCTCCAGGTGGCCGGCCACCTACAGGTCCCCAAGCAGGGCTTGCATGCCCAACTCAGCTCCCGCACTCTTCCTCCCCTAGTCACACCACTGCCCATCGCCCTCGGGTGAAGCCCCATTCCTCGGCATGGATGGCTTCCGTCCTGGGGTTAATCACCATTGGTCCCTGGTCTTCCCCTATTCCAGGCCCCCAAACCCCAACAAGCCATGCAGGAGGCTCCCTTCTTCAAGATAGGCCCTCCCCAGGCACCATCTTACTGCCTCTCGAGATAGCTCAGGGGTGGACTGCTTTTAGTGTCATTGTATATGGGAGTTAACAGACTCAAACCCACTAAGTCCCTGGCCTCAGGTCCTAGAGCAAAGAGGCACAGGCCTCCATTTGCGGGGAGCCATCTGGACTCCTGAACTGGTTATTGGGTTATTGGCAGACCCCTTCACCGGATTCTTGGCCCCCCACCCCCACCCTGCCGGTTCCCTCACAGCTCTGGGCACTTCCTGGCTCTGACACAGGCAGGTGACAGTTCTCCCGACTGTGGAGGGGACCAGTATCTCACCGGGCTGTCCTCTGAGATATTACCAGGGCTTCCCCTTACAGCTGTCTAGTCCTCCCACTCCCTGGTGGGGACTGTTAATGGGGACCCTCTGCAGGGCTCCTTCCCCCATCTTTCTTCCCTAACCCCCGCAGGTCCTCCTGAATCCGTCACATGCCTTCTAGTCCTTGTCTCAGGGTTGGCTCCCGGGGGGACCCCCACCCTAAGCCAGTGCTCACTGTACGTTGGTTAGTTTTTGTGCCAGCTGCCATTGTTTCAGGCACCCTACATACTGCACTTCAGCTGTGCCCAATTATTAATGGCACCCCTCCCTTCAACAGTAGAGTTGTGACCTCCAGGCCTTTGTCCCAGTGGTTCCTTTGGCCTTTTCTGTTCCTTGTGTGTGGAGAACTTCTATGCATCCTCCAAGGCCCTCCCTCTGGGCAGAGCCTGGCCCCATTTGGCCTCGCCCTGACTCCACACAGTTGGGGATCTCTATGAGGATCTGCACCTGAGACCTGCCATTTGAAAGAATAGCCTGTTTGGCAGGAAGAACACACAAGGCATGGACCTTGAGGAGAAACAAGCCCGCTGTGTTGGAGCCGAGAGCAAGGAGGCAGGAGAAGCTGGAGCTGAGAGGGGGTGAAGAATGGGGGTGGGTGGAGAGAGGACTCAGGGGCAGCCTTGTGGGTGCAGGGAGGGTGTCACTTTAGCGGGAGCCTTAGCAATGACCTGGTAAATGCTTAGACCCCACTCCATACATGTGGGCCCATCTCCAAGCTGCCCTCTCTCTCTGCTGACTCCCTGAGGGTAACAAAGCACTTGGAAGCAGAAACCAAGGCTCAGATTCACCCAGCCCTTCCCGGGCATGTGGCCTCTGAAGGGATGCTTATTGCTACCCAGACCCACCAGCCTGCTGCAGCCTCCGGGCTTCTGCCTGCCCAGTGCCCTGCCTCTGAGATGGAATCTGACCGATCTTCCACTGAGGCCTGCTCTGGAAAAACCCTCCTCTGGGAAGCCTGCCAGGCCTCCACCCAGATGCCTCCTGGGCTGGAACAGCAGAGCGGCCAGCATTTCCTGACCCCGCGCATAGCATGTGACTTGGCTGCCGACTCTGACCCAGGCTTAGGATGCCAGCAACCTGCCTCTCCTCTCCTCTGAGTCATTCCCTAAAGTGACCAGAGTCAGAGCCTCCTCCAGCTCTCCAAGTCTCACTCTTGCAGAAGCCCATCAAGATCCAGGAATGGGGGTGCAGGTTCCTCACTGGACAAACGGCCCAGCCAGGAGGGAGCGCCTTAGCATCTTGGGCCGTGCATCGCATATCCCCCGCACGCCAGCCTTCAATCCCCGCACCCCCAGACTTCAATTTCAAGTCCACACTCTGCCTCGCCCACCACCTTTATTGGGCATCAGCCCAGGACTGCACACAGGAGGGCGGTGGGTGTCGCTCACAGAGGGACCCTTGGCGGGAGGCTTGGCTGATGACGCCGTTAGCCCCCAGGACACACACTGGCCCGGGCCTCTCTAACGCTGGGAGTTGACCCGGTGAGAGGGCAGCAGGGTCACGACCCTGACCGCCCCTAGGGCGGCTCTCCCAGTTCGTGGGGCTGCTCCCCCAGTTCGGGGCTCACTTGGGGGCGTTGAAGGGCACGGCCCGCTGGTTCATGGGGTTGTCTGGTGAGCGCAGCCACTCCTTCTTGAGTAGCTGCTTCAGCTGCGACAGCCGCATGTTGGGGTTCTCTTGCTTGAGCCGGGGCAGTTGCTCCTCCTCAAAGGCGGTGAAAGCAGCCCGCATGCGGCGCTCCGGGTGCCTGTCCCCGGCCTCCTCCGCCACACTGCAGGGAGGACACGGATTTCAAAGGGGTCCAGGAGGTGAGTCCAGACTCAGGCCCCGCCCCCAGAGCTCAGGCCCCGCCCCGCTACCTGAGCACGGCGATGGCGTCCTCGATCGTGCGCGCCTCCAAGCTGCCCTCCTCCAGCACTCGGCGGTTCACGTTTTCCTCCAGGGGCACCTCTAGGTGGCTCTTGGCTTTCTCGGCTGGGGATGGGCAGCCAGCGGGTGACAGAGAGAGGCACACAGTGGGGAAAGGGAGGGGAAAATGAGAATGACGGCAGGAACACTACTGGAGCAGAGAAGCCCTTCCAGGACCGACCTCGGGGGTGGTCCTACCCTATCGGTGCTCAGCCCTCTGCCCTCTTCACTCCTCCGGAGGTGGAACTGGGCACGTGGAGAAGCTCACACGGGCTGCTATCTCCCTAGCCTCGGGCAACATCTCCCAAACCGGGAGGAGTGGAGCACAGCACGTCCACAGTGTGTGCCTGCGCTCAGGGCAGGCAGGCCTTCCAGGCACAGGCCATCGCTCCCCCCTCCCCCGCTTCACCACGCAGAGCCCAGGCATCTGGGGTGGGGAGGTCCGTTGCCTATTCAATGTGTAAGAGGGCAGCTCCACAGGGGACCCTGCCCCACCTGATTCTTGGGCTTCCTTGTGCTGATGGTCTCTGCGGAGCGTCTCCTCAATCTGGGCACGGGTGACTTTGCTTGGCACAGCTACCCGGGGGGCCTTGCTGTTCTTGAGCTTGGAGTCCTCCTCCTCCAGCAAGCGCTGGGTCTCCTTTTTGCGCTCCAGCTGCTCCAGGCGCCGCTTCTCCTTCTCCTCCTGGGGTAAGGGGGCAGTCAGGGGTGGGTCCACCCTACCACCGAGGTGGTCTGAGACGCTGCAGTGTGCTAGACCCTGTGCTGGGCACAGGAGACATGGCTGGGAGCATGAGGGTCCAACATATATGAAGATAGGAACATGGGAACCTTGTCCACACAGGTGGGTGGGTAGGTCTGGAAGGAAAAAGTGACCCCTGGGCCAGAGGAGGAGCAGCCAGGAGGAGAGCTGGGGGAAGGAGAGTGGTGGGTGTAATGACCCGGAGGCAAGAACCACCTAGCATGCCCAGAGAAGCAGAGAGAATGGTGTAGCTGAAGTGGGGATGGGAAGTGTGGAGGGAGAAGTGGGGGGGGGGGCAGTTTAGGAGCCTCAGGAGCTTAGGGAGCAGTTTGTATTTGATTCCAAATTGAGACGGGAGCCACAGAGGGTCTGAATCCATTTGCTAGCTGGGGCAAGAGTTCTGCCATTTTGGGTCAAGAGACCTCGGAGGAGGCACTGTGCCCAGTCTAGCAAAGCAGTGGCCGGAACTGATCGCACCTTGGCCCCAGATGCCAGTGGGCAAGGGGACATCTGGCTTACAGAACTTACCCGTGGTCACTGCCCTTTCACTGCTCCGGGGGACAGTGAGGTGCTCACTGTAGGCATGTGGCCTCTGGCTGGGTTCTGCACCACAGGCACCCCCACGTGCCTACAATCCTGCCATCTGCCTCCCATGCCTCCGGGGTGGTCCCTGCCTGCAATTCCCCATGACACTCTGTGGCTGGCCTGATGTCCCAGGAGAGGGGCTGATGTACCTGAGGATACCCACTGAGCTTCCCTCCCGCCTGCATGGCACCAAAGCGCGTGTGGGCAGGTTTAAAGGTCAGGGATGTCTGAGTACAACTCCTGGGGCTCCCACTTCGTGCTCAGGCACCTCAGGCAAGGCCACTGTGTTCTGAGCCTCAGTTTCCTCATCTGGAAGATAGGGATGACCCCACGGCACAAAGTGAAGGCCTGGGGAGGGCTCCCAGGGCCCAGACTGTCAAAAGGTTCCTGGCTTTTCTGTCTGCATAATGGATCTTTGGCAGACACTTGATTTTCCCTTTGGGTTTTCAACTTTGCTATGTTGTTAAAATGCTGACAATCGAAAAAGTTTAAAGACCCCCACAAGCCTGATGTAGCATGGTGAGGAGGAGGACATTCAATGTCCACTAACAACCAGGCAGGATCCAGTCCTGAACAGAAAGACAGTGGGAAAACTCTCACAAGTGCCCGGGCACCCCATGATCTAGGTGTGCAGGGACTGCGCATCATCACTGCTATTTTCCACAACCTTCATCAGTTTTCCAACGGAGGGAACCCTGTTCTCTGCCCGGAGTCACCAATGCATCCCCAGGATCCTAGGCAGGTGTGACCAACCCAGCAACCAGGATGTCTGTTATGCGGGTCTCTGGCGCCACCTACTGGACTAAACAGGTAAGCACCAGCCCTCAAACATTCCCAGACCATTAAGCACCTATTATTGTGTGCCTGGCACTGGGACCCATCAGGGATAGCCAGCCATCTCTGCCCTCTTCTGTGTCTTTATAAACTCCTGCGAGGTTCTGCAGGCCCAGGTCAGCAGGTCAGAAGTGGGAGTCTATCCAGAATTTCCCAGCCTGGGTACTGCTGATGTCTGGGCTGGCTCATTCTTTGCTTGGGGCCCAGTCTGAGCAGCATGCCTGGCCTTGACCCACCAGATGACAGGAACACCTCCCACCAACCTGCTGTGACAACCAAAAATGTCTCCATGCCCTAGCAGGTTTGGCTCAGTGGATGGAGTATCGGCCTGCAGACTGAAAGGTCCCAGGTTTGATTCCAGTCAAGAGCACATGCCCAGGTTGCAGGCACGATCCCCAGTAGCAGATTTGCAGGAAGCAGCCAATCGATAATTCGCTCTCATTTATTGTTGTTTCTCTTTCTCCCTCTTCCTTCCTCTCTGAAATCAAAAAAAGATTTTTTAAAAATGTCTCCAGAAGTTGCCAAGTGTTCTCTGGATGCAGAATCACCCCTCAAGTGAGAACTGCCAGTGTGACCTGACCCTAGCATCACATGAAGGAGAGAAACGAGCCCAAGGAGGGCGGTGCTGCCTTGTTTTTCTTCCAACGAGCCAAGGCCAGGCCACCCCAGGGCCTTTGTACGAGCTGCTGCTTCTGCCTCCCTCCCCGCCCTCGCTCCGGGTTTGGCGCCTCCTTGCCCTTCAGCCAAAGCCCCAGAGGCCTCCCACCACCTCTACCACGAACGCCCATCTCAGCTGCAGGCTCAGCAGCCCAGGGCCCCCCACCTTGCGCTGCTCCTTCCTCATGACGTGTTTGTCCTCATCCTTCCAGTAGGCATCCTCCAGCTCCTTGTGCTTCCGGGCATCGGCCGCCGCCTTAGCCTCAGCCCTCCGTGCCCGGGCTGCTGCTGACTTGGTGTTCTCGCCCTGGAACTTCTTGGGCATCCCTCAGCAGGCTGTGGGAGGGGGGGGGGGAACAGTGAGTAGGGGGCATCCATCGCCAGGAGCCCTAGACTCACTCCTGGGCAGCCAGGACCCCCTTGGGGCCTCAATGGCCTCATGTATAAAACAAGCACTCGGACTTAGTGATTTCTCTTTTTAAACATGTATTGGAGTGAAATGTATAGAACACAGAACGAAGCATTTTAAACGCACAATTCAGTGGCATTTCATACATTCACAATGTTGTATCATCACCACCTCTAACTAGTTCTAGAACATTTCTATCACCCCAAGTCCCTCCTTCCCCCAGCCCCGGCAACCAATAATCTGCTTTTTGTCCCTGTTGATCTGCCTGTTCCGGACACTTCAGAGATGGAATCACACATGTGGTCTTTTGCATCTGGCTTCTTTCACTCAGCATGAAGTTTTCTAGGATCACATTGTACCATGAGTTAGTGCTTCGTTCCTTTTTATGGCTGAGTGACATCCCCTTGCGTGAATGGATATTTTGTTTATCCATCCATCCCCTGATGGACATCTGGGTTCTCTCCGCTTTTTAGGTGTGAGTCATGTTAGTGTGGACTTCTCCAGGCCAGCCTGCCACCTCTGAGGCTTTAATTCCTGGGTCCCACAAAACTGAGACTCAGTCCCCCTCATCCTGGATCAGCAGCCGCTGTGAATGGCAATGACCCAGCCCCGGCTCACACAGCTGGGAGGTGCTGTAACAATCATGAAGCTTATGTCTGGCGGGGACATAGTCCCAGCTATTTCCCTGTGCCCAGCCTCTGCTAAGCACTTTATATGGACCAATTCGATGAATGCCCCAAAGCCGTAAATATGGGGATTTATTCCCATTCTAAGGCGGGAAAGCTGAGGTACCTGGCCTGGTCACACGGGACTGAGCTTGAAATTTCACCTCCAGTCTGCCTTTCAGGTGAGGAAGGGAAGGCTGTGAGGTGAGACATGGACAGCACTACCTCCAAGCACTGACTGAGGACCACGTGCTCTATGGCCCAAGGCACATGCCTGTTGGGCCTGGTTTCCTCATTTGGGAAACGGGCTGATGCACATCCCTCCTGTCATCCTCACCCCTCACAGAACCATGGAGAAATGGGCCAAGCACCCAAGAATGAAGGGGAGGGAGTGTGGGACCACCCTGACTGAGGACAGGCAGCCTCTAACTCCACCCCCTCAGCTGCGGGACTGGTGCCTATCGCTGAGCCCTCAGCAGAGACTCTAACTTCAGCTCCTGTTTGCGGCAGCTGTGCGGCTGGGCTGAGTGCTTTACAGGCAGCATCTTAGTGAATTCTTACAACCCCGGAGGGAGCTCGCTCGGCCGAGGCCTGAAGGATGGGCTGGAGGCAGCCCTGTGAGGACAGAGGGTGAGGATTCAGGGTGAAGGGCGCCACACAGGCAAAGGCCTTGAGGCGAGGGGGAGGCTGTGTTCAGGCACAGGGGGTGACGAGGCAGCTGTGAGCAGGGCGGGAACGCTTTCTGATTAGTTTGTTCCAAAGCCCTCTCTAGCTGGCCAGGGGGAGGCACGGAACGCTGAGGGGATCGCGATGATGCAACGGGCAGAGCGGAAGGTTTAGTCGGATGAAGCTGTGTGTGCGCTCTAAACCACTTCATCCCCGGCAGCAGCAGAGGCGTCCTCCACTGAGCACTTCATTTGGACTGACTTAAACAAACGTCCCCAAGCCTCAATCCTGGGGACTGTCCTTATTCCCATTCTGAGGGGGGAAGGCTGAAGTACCCGGTCAGGTGCCCATTTACACACGAGAAATCTGAGGCTGAGGCAGAGAGGTTTAGTGACAGGCTCAGAGCCATCCAGGGGGTTAGTGAAGGGGCCTGGATTTCAACCAGGTCTAGCTCTCCTCAGCCTCTCCCCATCCCACCCCCCCCCTTTTTTTTTAATGATTCAGAGAAGGTAAGAGGGGGAAAGAGATAAAAACATCAACGATGAGAGAATCACTGATGGGCTGCCTCATGCAGGACCCCTACTGGGGTTTGAACCCAAAACCCAGACATATTCTCTGGCTGGGAATCGAATCGTGACCTCCTGGTTCATAGGCCAATGCTCAACCACCGAACTATACTGGTCAGGCCAGTCTCCATGCTCTTAATCACTGCTCCACCCTAGGGTCCTGGCAGGTCCCTCAAGGAATATCAACACGGATCAGGACTCTGAAGCCACAGGGACCCTCACCTGACACAGAAGCAAACCCCAGGAGGAAGAACGGGACAGACTGGGGATCAGTGGACCCAGGAGACTCAGGGTTGAGTCCTCGGCTCTGTAATCATAACTGATATATTTCTCTTCAAACCCCGTTTTCTTATTTAAGATGTAGGGGTGATTCTAGGCCTTCCCCACACTGAATCCAGCATTCACTACTGAGCATCTACACCAGAAACCCTCTCCCGGCTTCCCCAGGAAAGCACCAAGGAGTGGGGATTGCTGCCCAAGTTACAGATAAGAAAAGTCCTCACCCTGACTCCAGGTGAGTCCCTCCATCTCTCCCTTGCGAATCCAGCAGTAGACACACCAGCCTCCTTGCTATTTTTCAAATACATCAGAGGGTTCCCACCTCAGTGCCTTTGCACTTGCTGTGTGCTCTACGTGGCTATTCTTTGTTCCTCTTTTTACCTAGTTAAGCCTATTTAAACTTCTCCCAGCCTTCCCTGGGATCCCCTTGACTCTTACATCTTAAACTTTTTTTTTTTTAGATCCTTGTCTGGGTTGCTTTCTGTTCATTTATATGACTAACAAACGCCCATCTTCCTCACCAGGCTGGAAGCTTTTTAAGGGCAGGGCTGGGACTACCTGGGTCACTGCCGTGTCCCCAGTACCCTCCTTCATTTGCACAATGTTTTTCTTTTTTCTCTCAAGAAATGTGTTTTTTAAATTTTTATTTATTGATTTGAGAGAGGTTAATTGTTGTTCCTCTTATTTATGCAATCATTGGTTACTTCTTATATGTGCCCTTACCAGGGAATGAATCTATAACCTTGTTGTATGAGATTGACACTCTTAACCAACTGAGCTACCAGCCAGGGCTCAATAAATGTTTTAGGCAAATGAATGAACAAGTGCTGATTTGCAGGGCTCCTCCAGTATTTACTTCATGCTGTGTTGTGTCCAAACTCATCAGCTTCTTACTGTTCTTCCCACTCACCCCATCCCCTCCTGCCTCTGGAACTCTGCTCTTGCTACGCCCTCATCTAATACACCCTACCCTCACCCTCCTCCTGTGAAAACCCTGCCCACTCACAGGGACTCTGCCCAGCATCTCCTCATCCTCATCTTCAACCCAAGGCCTGACACGGCTTTTTTTGACCCCCCTCTTCAGACTGAGAACCCAGGACTGAATGTTTGTGTCCCTCTAAAATCCCCATGTTGAAGGCCCAACCCTCGCTGTGACTGCATTTGGAGGCAGGACTGGGGAGGAGGTGATAAAGATTAAATGAGGTCAGCACTGGCTGGTGTGGCTCAAATGGTTGAGCGTTGTCCCATGGATTGAGGTCCCCAGTTCGATTCTCAGTCAAGGGCATATGCCTGGGTTGAGGGATCAATCCCCAGTAGGGGGCATGCAGGAGGCAGCCAATCAATGATTCTCTCTCATCATTGATGTTTCTGTCTCTCTCCATCTCCCTTCCTCTCTGAAGTCAACAAAAAATATTTTTTTTCAAAAAAAAAAAAAAAAAGAGCCCTGATCTGTTTGGCTCAGTGGATAGAATGTTTGCCTGCGGACTGAAGGATCCTAGGTTCGATTCGGGTCAAGGGCATGCGCCTTGGTTGCGGGAACATCCCCAGTAGGGGGTGTGCGGGAGACGACTGATTGATGTGTCTCTCTCACCGATATTTCTGACTCTGTATTCCTCTCCCTTCTTCTATGTGAAAAATAAAATATTGTTTTTTAAAAAAGAAGACACTTTGGTGGAAATCCTACCTTAAAAAAAAGATTAATGTGGTCATAGGGTGGGGCCCTAATCTAATAGGGCTGGTGCCCCTGGAGCAAAAGACACTAGAGCTTACCCTCCACCCTGTGAGTACACAATGAGAAGGCGGGCCGTCTGCAGGTCAGGAAAAGCCTGCCCCAGGAACTAAAAATTAAATGGCGCCTTGGCCGAGACCGGTTTGGCTCAATGGATAGAGCGTGGGCTTGGGGACTGAAGGGTCCCAAGGGCATGTACCTTGGTTGAGGGCATATCCCCAGTAGGGGGTGTGCAAGAGGCAGCTGATCGATGACTCTCTCTCATCGATGTTTCTTACTCTCTATCTCTCTCCCTTCCTCTCTGTACAAAATCAATAAAATATATTAAAAATAAATAAATAAATAAATAAATAAATAAATAAATAAATGGCGCCTTGATCTTGGACTTGCCATCCCCAGAACTGTGAGCAAATAAATATCTGTTGTTTAAGCTGCCTAGTCTGTGGTATTTGTTATGGCAGCCGCCCAGGCTAAGACAGACAGCTCTCCTCTGGTACACAGTCCCTCACTGTGTCATCCAGTAAGCATGTACTGAGCACCCAATACAAGGTCCTGAAGAAAGAGGTGGAGCCAAAGAGCTTCCTGCCCACATGGGATTGCCAGGCTGTCTGGGAAATAAGCATTAAGACTGACCAGTTAAGCCGAGACCGATTTGGCTCAATGGATAGAGCGTCGGCTTGGGGACTGAAGGGTCCCGGGTTCGATTCCGGTCAAGGACAAGTACCTTGGTTGCGGGCATATCCCCAGTAGGGGGTGTGCAAGAGGCAGCTGATCGATGACTCTCTCTCATCGATGTTTCTAACTCTCCATCTCTCTCCCTTCCTCTCTGTACAAAATCAATAAAATATATTAAAAAAAAAAAAAGTGACAGCTTGAGATCTGAGCTGTGACAGGGACCTGCCATGGGGGATGGGAGGTAGGGGAGTCTGGAGGGGGCTTCTGGGAGATGTGTGTCAAAGGACTTCCTGGATGAGATACCCAGGAAAAAGTCTAAAGGAGAGGAAAATCCTA